TCAAGAGTCAAGAATCTTCAGGTACAACACTTAATAATAGTCACAGGGTATAATAAGCAATAAAATCATACTAGGAAACAGTCAATAAAAATTGTAAGGATACAAGTGACAAATTTACAGTCATACAGTCACAAGTGGGAGGGGATGGGTGATAAGGAGTGATGAGAAGATTAATAGTAATAGTAGTGCAGACTTTGTAAATAGTTGGACATAATAGTTGACATAATAGCTGCAGTCATTAAGTAAGGAACAAGGTTAAGTGAATCTGGCTTCCCCATTGACTGCGCTTGTCAGAAGGTCACAAAAGAGGATGACGTGACCCCAGGAGATTGCAACTGGGGAAGCTGTGATGGTTGTATCTGTGAGGACTGGTTGCAAGTCACTTTTCCAGTGTCGTCGTAACTTTGAACAGTCACTAACTGAATGGCAACCAGCCAGGGACTACTTTTGCAAAAAGGACACAGCTTTTATTGCAACCACACGGTGGTGCTTTCTGCATTCAGGTTGTTCTCAACTTACAAACATTAATGGACCCTGTGCGTGATGGTCCTAAAGCAGGTCACTCCTGTCACAGACCCCATTTTTAAAAACTTTTTTTGCAGGGGTCATTAAGCAAATCACCTCAGCTGATAAGTGGATCATTCATTGTTAAGCAAACCTATCGTTGACTCTAGGGCATTGAATTATGTGTGTCATCCATTGTTATCGATTCCTAGGGACCACGGAGATTTTGTCCAAAGGACTCAAGATTATGTGTGTCATCCACCACCTTAGAGGTCTACTAGTCCAACCCCCTGGTTCTGCAGGAGACCAGAATGTCCTCCATTATTCAGGCAGGAAATCTGAAAGCCAATTACAGGTTCTGGGAGACCTCAGTGAGATTCTGTCTATAGCAGGAAGAACAGTTGCAGGAACTGGATATGTCTTGACCCTGTATCATTTCAGACAAGTGGCTGTCAATCAATCAGTCAATTGGGACACAGTTGGAAGGACCTTGGAGGTCTTCTAGTCCAACCCCTGTTCAAGTAGGAGACCCTTTCATTCCAGTCTCTTCTTAAAAACCTCCATTATTTCTGCAGGCAAGCTGTTCCACTGATTAATTTCTCCTTAATTCCAGGTTGCTTCTCTCCTTTGATTAGCTTCCATCCGTTGTTTCTTGTCCTGCCCTCTGGCGCTTTCGAAAATAAGTCAATCCCTTCTTCTTTGTGGCAGCCCCTCAAATACTGGAATACTGCTATCATGCCCCACCCCAACACAGTCTTTCTTTCCTCTAGACTAGTCATACCAATGGTGGGATTCAAATTTTTTTACTACTGGTTCGGTGGGTGTGGCTTGGTAGGCATAGCATGGCTTGGTGGGCGTGGCAGAAGGATACTGTAAAATCCCCATTCCCTCCCCCACTCCCGAGGGAAGGTTACTGCACAAACCCCATTCCCTCCCTCCACCCCACTAACCTGCTTTCCAGCTCCGTTCTCCTGTGCGGGGCAACCAAAGAAGACCCAGCCAATCAGCTGGGACTCAGGAGACAGAGAATAGATGGTGGTGGGGCCAATCAGAGGTGGTATTTGCCGGTTCTCTGAATTACTCAAAATTTCTGCTACAGGTTCTCCAGAACAGGTCAGAAGCTACTGAATACTACCTCTGAGCCATACCAGGGGTGGGATTCTACCAGTTCGCACCCGGTTGTTAACATTCTAAGCAGTTCGGAGAACCGGTTGTTAGAAGAAATTACTGGCCTAATCCTGTAAGGAAGGCAGGAAGGAAACAGTCTGGTGTTGCTTACAGAAACTGCCTCTCCGTTAACCCTTATTACATTCTTGGCAGGACTAGACTTCCTGTTTCAGGAACTTCTTTGGAGTTATTTTTCCCCTCCTTTGCTGGTACTTTGCTTGTGTGGAGTGACCATTCAACGTTACAATGGCACTGAAAAAAGTGACTTATGACCATGTTTCACACTTACGACTGTTGCAACATCACCAGTCATGAGAGGCCAGGCGAGGAGATGCGTGCCTCAATGTGAGTGATATTGAGTTGGCCACATCCAACCAATAACATGACCAAGCCACGCCCACCACCTAAGCCACACCCACAGAACCAGTTGTTAAAAAATTTGAATCCCACCCCTGAGCCATACCCAATTCCTGCAACCGTTCTTTATATGTTTTTGTCTTCAGGACTTTAATCCAGTCTCTTCTTAAAACCCTCCAGTGTTGGAACATATACAACTTTTGGTGGCAAGCAATTTCACTGGTTAATTGTTCTCACTGTCAGAAAATCTCTCCTTAATTCCAGGTTGCTTCTCTCCTTGATAAGTTTCCATCCATTGCTTCTTGTCCTGCCATCAGATGTTTTGGAAAATAGGTTGACCACTTCTTGTTTGTGGCAGCCTTTCAAATATTGGAGCGGTATATTCCTCTGTAGCCTTTTTCAGGTCTCCCAACATGGCACACATCCTTGTTGTAACTGAGTCCATTTACTTTGCAAAATACTCCTTAATCCTGTAAATAATTATAGTTCCACCTGCCAGCACCACACCTGTATCAGATGAGCAACTGGCAGATTGAGCAGTGAGTTTTATGATGGTAATGTTTCTCTTTTATGCCTATAGAGACCGGCAGTCAGATTTTTTTTTCTCTTGGTCACGAGGAAGACAGCCACGTTGTTGTGTTTGTGGGTCTGCTACTCCCTTTTCCAGTTTGCTATGAAATGAAGATGGGTTTTTTCCCAGAGCAGAAAACTCGGAAGTGTTTCAAAAGAACTGTTTCTCTAAACCCAAGGGAAAGAAAAAACCCAATGATGGAACAGAAAGAAAAGGTTCCTTTTGAAAGGGAACTAATTGTTCATGGGATGGCACCCTGGTTTGTTTGTTACAGAACTGAACGCTTGATGTATGTATGCAGCCTTTCCTAAGGTGACATAATCCAGACATGTTCACATTATTCCAAATCCCAGAAAGGATTTCTCATAAATTTAAGATGTGTAGACTTTAACTCAAAGAACTCTCAACAAATCTCAACAAATTCAAGGTGTAGACTTTAACTCAAAAAATCCTTAACAAACCTCAGATCTCTACAAATTCAAGATGTGTAGACTTTAATTCTCAAAATTCTCAACAAAATTCAACAAATTCAAGGTGTATAGACTAAGTCCCAGGATTTTGCAGCCAGTATGCACCCATCTTAACACACAAAGTTGAGAAACATTGGACATTTATTTTAATTACTAGACTTTTATGCTTCCTTTTTTATTTTTATAAATAGAATACTTCATTGTCACTTTGAATGTACACGATTCGACATACATTAAAATGGAATTACGTTGCATACAGCTCTCAAAGGGTCTCCACCTCTAATATAAACATAAACACGACAAGATAAATAAATGAATACCTCAAGGTAGTGAATATACCTAATCTCCGTCCTCCTCCTATTCAACCCACAACAACAGCCCTGTCAGGTAGGTTGGGCAGAGAAACTCTATGCCATAGTCATCCAGCCGCCTTTCATGTCTAAAGCTGGACTGGAACTCACAATCTCCTGCTTTCTAGCCTGGTGCCTTCATCACTAGACCAAACTAGCTCTTTTTTCTACAACTCTAGATTATATCTAAGGTCCCTTCTAACTCATCCATTCTGCCGTGCTAAGAAAGCAATTTCTTGGGTTGGCACAACATTATCAACCATAGGTTTGCACAGCAGATCCAAACATGTTTTACAAGAACGAAGATTTAAAGCAGGCATGTCCAATCCTCAGCCCACAGACTGCATGCAGCCCTGGGCAGCCAGTAATGTGGCCCTGCAAAATAATAAAAAACAAATAAATTATTATTTTTTGTTAGTTTATATGCTAAATTATATATTTCATATGTGGCCCAAGACAATTCCTTTTCATATAATGAGGCCCAGGCAAACCAAAAGGTTGGATGAGCATGATCTAAAAGCAGAATAACAAGAGGGGAGGGGACTTTGGAGGTCTTCTAGTCCAACCCTCTGCTCAGGCAGGAAACCCTATACCATTTCAGACAAATGGTTGTCCAATCTCTTCTTAAAAAGCAACCAAGCAGCAGGTCCTGGATATGCTGTAGCTGGGTCTTTTCTGTGACTCGGCCATGCATTTTCCTTAGGACGACCTCACAGGGCTGTTGTGAAGTCAAAAGTAGGCAAGACTGAAAGGTGAACTAACAATAGCACAGGTACACTTCCAGACCAGGGATGGTGCTCCCACCTCGATTGCAGGAACTGGGCTTGGCTAATCTAGTGAAGAGAAGGATCAGGGGAGACATGATAGTGGTCTTCCAATATTTGAGGGACTGCCACAGAGAGGAGGAAGGGGTCAAGCTATTTTCTAAAGCACCTGTAGGCCAGACAAGGCATAATGGATGGAAACTGAACAAGGAGAGATTCAACCTGGAAATAAAGAGAAATTTCCAGACAGTAAGAATAACAGAGTTGTAAGGGACCTTGTAGGTCATCTAGTCCAACCCCGTTATAAGCAGGAGACCCTACACCATTTCTGACAAATGGCAGTCCAATTTCTTCTCAAAAGTTTCCAGGGATGAAGCTCCCACAACTTCTGAAGGCAACTTTTGTTCCATTGGTTGATTGTTCTCACTGTCAGAAAATTCCTCCTTATTTCTACATTCAACCAAAGGAACAGAAGTTGCCTTCAGAAGTTGTGGGAGCTCCATCCCTAGAAGAGACTGGACCGCCATTTGTCAGAAACGGTGTGGGGGGTCTCCTGCTTGGGGGGGCGGGCGGGGGCGGGGGAAGGGTTGGACTAGATGACCTATAAGGTCCCTTCCAACTGTGTCATTATGTTACTAGTCAGAAACGGGAGCGAGAGGTTCCCGCCCTTTTTTCCTTCAGAGGCCTCGAGCACCCGCTTCCTTTGGCCCCACCCCCGACGCCCCCCCTCCGCGCGTGCGTGCGTGGCTCCTCCTCCGGGAGGCCGTGGCCACGCCCCCGGCCTCTCGGCCACTCCCCCTTTTCCTTCACAGGGAGGCCGGCGCTTTGCTGCCTCTTCGAGGGTCCGGCTTCAGCCGGCGGAGCGGAGGGGTCGTCCTGCTTTCGGCTCCGAGCAGGCTCGGGGGCGGGCCGGGCTGGGGCGATGGACGAGCTGCTGCTGCCCACGGCCGTGCTGGAAATCTGCGTCTTGGTCGGGGTCTCCCGGGAGAAAGCCAGAGACGCGCGTCAGGTATAAACACGCGTGTCGGGGTGGGCGGCAACGTCGGAATGCGCCTCCCAGACGGGGTCGGGGTGGGTGGGTCACCTGTGCTGTTTGGACCGCGTCCCCGCGTCTCTCGACGCTGTTTGAGGAGAGTTTTCGCCCGCGAGCAGGGAAAAAAGTTCCCCCTTGCCTTCCCTTCCTCCTCGGCCCGCCTCGTTGCCTTGAAATCCGGCAGCCCCGAAGGTGGGAACGGCTGACCTTTCACGAGGAGGAGGAGGAGGAAGAAGAAGGAAAGGAAGCTTTTCCCGGATCAGCCTGCGTGTCGCCTCTTCCTCGTGAAACACCTGGTCGCGCTCTGCACTTCAACGGGGCTTACCTGCCTGACCTGGAATTCAGGCATTTGGTTTATTGGTTCCTTTATTTTTTACAACCTTGGTATGAACCTGCCAGGTCTTGGCAGAGATTAGGGGAGAGAGCAATAGTCCTTAGGCTTATATACTGCTTTCCAGCCCTCTCTAAGCGGTTTACAGAGTCAGCATATTTGTCCCTAACAATCTGGGTCCTCATTTTACCCACCTGGGTAAAAGCTGTGTAAAGCTGAGTCAACCTTGAGTCAGAATCTAACTGCTTGCTGTGGGCAGAATTAGTCTGCAATACTGCATATTAACCACTGGGAAGTTAGGAAGGAAAGGGAAGGAAGAGCAATAGCACTTAGACTTTTATTCCACTTTAAAGTGCTTCACAGCCCTCTCTTAGCCGTTTACAGAGTCAGCCTATTGCCCCCAACAATCTGGGTCCTCATTTTAACCACCTCAGAAGGATGGATACTGTCCCCAACAATTTGGGGGCATGAAATTCCAGCTCTGACACGTAGCATAGAAATGCATGCCTTCAGACTATCTGCAATAGGAATCCGAAAGGAATTTATTTATATATTTTCCTAGCATTCCTTCGGTGGACAATAGCGATAGCACTTAGACACGTACCGCTTCACAGTGCTTTTACAGCCCTCTTTAAGCGGTTTACAGAGTCAGCCTCTTGCCCCCAACAATCTGGGTCCTCATTTTACCGACTTCTGGAGGGTGGAAGGCTGAGTCAACCTTGAACTAGTCAGGATTGAATTCCTGGCAGTCGGTAGAGTTAGCCTCTAATACTGCACTCTAATCACAAAGAAAGAATGGAAGGAAGGAAGGAAGGAAGGAAGGAAGGAAGGAAGGAAGGAAGGAAGGGCAATAGTAATAGCACTTATATACTGCTTGCTGCAATATTGCATTATCACTGGGAAGGAGGGAGGGAGCGCAACAGCAATAGCACTTAGACTTATATACCGCTTCAGTATTTTACAGACCCCTCTAAGCAGTTTACAAGAGTCCGCCTACACAGTTGTAAAGTGAATCTGGCTTCCCCAGAGACTTTGCTTATCAGAAAGTCACCAAATGAACACTGTGACCGTCATAAATATGAGTCAATTGCCAAGCGCCCAAAATTTGATCACATGACCATGGAGATGCAGCAATGGTCATAAGCGTGGAAAACGGTCATAACTCGCTTTTTTTCAGTGCTGTTGTAACTTTGAACGGTGTCTAAATAAACTGTTTTTAAGTCGAGAGCTATCTGTAATTGCTGTACAACCTTAAAGAGAGGTGATTTATTTTGTTGTTGTTCAGCACTGTTAATTTCCCAGTGGGAAGGCCTGATGCTGAGGTTTGAATGTATTTTTTGAAACCCATGAAGGGCATTTCCTGCTCCCTTCATTATCGAAGCAACTCTGGGCAGCTTGTAAAGCCACATTAAAAATATTAAAAATGTGAACATGAAGAGGGATTAGATAAAACTGAGAATCAAGTACACCTCTGGTACAGAGGTTATTTGCTATTTATCCAACACTGATTACATGGATATGCCTCCCACCTTGCTATCAAAGCGACTCTGGGAAGCTTACAAAACGAGAAAAACAAGGTTATACAACGGTTAACATATTAAAAACATTAACATCAGTTATTCAATAAAACTGGGAACCCACGGTTCTGAGATTATTTGTTTTTAAGCCATTTATTTATTAAGCTTATTCGCTACTCATTTCACTATAGGTAGTCCTTGGCAGTTCATTTAGTGACCATTCAAAGTTACAATGGCACTGTAAAATGCAAAAATGTCAACAACATTAAAATGAACAGGAATTTGATAAAATTAGGAATCAAGTATGCAACTTTCTTGGTCCACCAGCCACCTCTGTAAGCCACAAATCGTATTGTTGTTGGGCTTTTAAAATTACTGTTGTCAGATTCCAATTGTCCCAAAAGTGCTTTTTCAAGAGGCTACGGGACTTTCTGGTTTCAGTTGTCTCTTGAAAAGCACTTTTACTTTACTTTACTTTACTTTACATTACTTTAATTTACTTTACTTTATTGTCATTGCACCTCGTACAACGAAATTAAATGCCTTCTTCAGTGTACATTATAACTATGAAAATAAAAGACAAACACACATCCTTTACATTCTATACATAGAATTAAAAACCTCTGCTAATGCATTAATATTGCACTATACAGTAGAATTCAATGTAAGTTATTCCTTTGGGATAGAAGCTGTTTTTTAGCCTAATTGTCCTTGTTTTATTATCCTGTACCGTCTACCAGATGGTAATCGTTAAAAAAAAAGGCTGCCAGGATGAGATGGATCTTTAATGATATTTTGAACTTTCTTAAGGCAGTGAGAGCTATGAAGCTCTTCCAAAGAGGGGAGAGGGCAACCAATGATCCTCTGGGCAATGACATTAACCCTCTGGAGTGCTGTCCCATCTGCCACTGTACAACTGGCAAACCATACACAGGTGCAGTAAGTTAAGATACTCTCTATGGTGCAGCGGTAGAAGGTCACCAGCAGTTTTTCATTCAGTTGTTTTCTGAGAAGTCTCAGGTAGTATAATCTCTGCTGGGCCCTTTTGACCAGGGCTGCAATGGGAGCATCCCAGGTCAGGTCCTCTTTTATGGTAACACCCAGAAAACTTAAGACTGGCCACTTGCTCCACTCGGTCTCCACTGATAAGCAAGGGCTGGACGTCTGATCTGTTCCTTCTATAGTCCACTATAAGCTCCTTGGTCTTATTGGTGTTGAGGACCAAGTTATTATCTCCACATCACGAAAGCAACCGGTCCACCTCATCTCGATAGATTCACCCCCACCCCCAGAGATGAGTCCCACCACTGTTGTATAATCTGGAAATTTAATAAGAATAGAATTATAATTAGAATTAGAATAGAATAGAATAGAATAGAATAGAATAGAATAGAATAGAATAGAATAGAATAGAATTCTTTATTGGCCAAGTGTGATTGGATACACAAGGAATTTGTGTGGGTGCAAATGCTCTCAGTGTACATAAAAGAAAAGATACCTTCATCAAGGATCATAAGGTACAACACTTAATAATAATAATCATTTCTGGCATGAGTGGAAATGCAGTCATGCACATAAAGAGTATAGAGAATAAAGGACAAACCATGACCTGGATATCTGAGAATCTCCATAGACATTCAGACTGTGGTTGGCTACTTTTTTCCACCACAATCCTCCCAATGATTATTTATAGCTTCCACCTCTTCCTAGTTTTTGCATGTCAAAATATTGGGTTCCTTGAGAGCATCTCTTTATTATCTGAAGTTGGGGAAGAAGTTGACTTGGGGCTCCCAGCCCCATTTCACATTTTTCTCTTCGTTGCAGTGATATAGCAGACTTCAAATTTTTCGTGTACTAAGTTTGTTGATGATAGTTTGCTAATTTTAGGTCAAATCTGATCTGAAGCCTCACCAGGCCGATGGTATCAGAAACCTTTGAATGCAATCTTAGAGGTTTCCAAAAGTGCCTGAAAAAAGGACATTTTTACATCCATGACTCGATGATCAAGGAATCCCATTGTCATTGTCACATTTAAGAAATTAAAAAAAAATTACGTTTAACATTTATTCTGGCCCCCTTTCAAATTGCCCCATAAGACTTTGGCCAAAAATATCTTACTTCAGTTTAGAAAATATTAAGTATCTCTAATTAGTACATAGAAGGCTGACGTACTATTGTTGCATTTCTGTGCAATTCTTAGTTTGCACAAAGGTTCCTAATGGAGAATAGTGTTTCTGTCTGTTTTGCATGAAACATGCATGTTGTAATAAGGGTGGGACGAAATGTATCTTCCCATTTGCAAACCTCAGTAAAAGAAACAGGATGTAACTGAGCCGGTTTTATTTTTCTTTAATTGACTGCAGTTTATATATCAATAGGATTGTTCATTTCCCTGCTTTATAACATTTGTTTTTCTAGTTTAAGAAAATACAGAATGATGCTGCTACTTGTTTAATTCTCAGCTGACAGATTATTCTGTCAACTGCTATCATATTTGGTGCTAAGCAGTTCTGGTATTAACCAAAGTTGTACTTTTGAAGTGGATGATTAAATATGACTTTGCCTAATGCCTATATTGACACATAGAGATGTTGCTTTATTTTTGGGCTTCACAAGTGTTAATATTCCTTTGAGTTTGTGGGACCTGATTGAGCCAGGAAAAATATTTTGAACTTACTCTCCTAGTTATTTTATTTCTCACTTAACTGTGTAGGTTCAAGAATAGCATGCATAATTTTCACGCAACATATTTTATCTAATACAAAAACAGCAGATTAGAGCACTGTGATTACTATTAGAAGATAAATAGTAGAAGGAAGTTCTAACTAGATTTGTGTTGTTAGTTCTCTACGTACAATCATTCGCTTAGTGACTCTTCGACGTTACAATGGGACTGAAAAAAGCGACTTACGACCATTTTTCACGCGACCATTGTAGCATTCCCCATGGTCACATGATCAAAATCCAGCTGCTTCACAACTGATTCGTATTTATGACGGTTGCAGTGTCATGTGATTTACCTTTTGGCAATCCTTCTGACAAGCACAATCAGTGGGGAGGATTCACTTAAACAACCCTCTTACTAACTGAACTGCCGCGATTCGTTCAAACATGTGGCCGTAGAAAGGTCGTACCATGGGGCAAAACTCATTTAACGACTGTCTCATTTAGCAACGGAAATGTTGGTCACGATTGTGGGTCGGGGACTTTTGGTAAAGTGAAAATAGCTGGCCAGGTTTCTCTCACACCCACTGTAATTTTGTAGTATGAGAGGTGGGATCAGTATGACGCTATGGACCAAGGTTGAGAGAGTGCCACGCATCGCATAGTATATAAAGTATGCTCTTTTGCTAAAATTTAGATGATTTATTTCCTTCTGGTTCTGTGGACAGTACAACATATGTTGTAATGCGATGGCACAATCTTTCTTTCTCTTTCTGTCATCCAGGCTGAGTCATAAGGGTTCATGGAAATATTTCCAACTAACGAATGAGGAAAAACAGCAGAAAAAAATTTCCAAGGGCACTATTATTCAACCTGCCTTTTTAAAAAACATTCTGTCATTTTTCCCCTCATCTGTGAGCAGATTACTTTTGTTTAGCTAGTTCATAAGTTATTACGAACATTAAACAGTTGAACCTTTAAAAACACATTATAGGCCACGGTTTTCTGAAAAATGGGAACAGGAGAAAGCGTAAATTTCTGGAAACAAGTCTAATTAGGTTCCCCTTGTGCATGCATATATGTGCACACCCGTGGTGGGATTCAAATTTTTTTACTAGCGGTTCTGTGGGCATGGCTTGATGGGCATGGTGTGGCTTGGTGGAGGTAGCAAGGGAAGGTTACTGCAAAATCCCCATTCCCTCCCCATCCAACTAACCTGCTTTCCAGCTCCGTTCTCCTGTGCAGGGCAACGAAAGAAGACCCAGCCAATCAGCTGGGACTCAGGAGGCAGAGAATAGATGGGGGCGGAGCCAGTCAGAGGTGGGATTTGCCGGTTCTCCGAACTATTCAAAATTTCCCCTACCAGCTCTCCAGAACTGGTCATCACCTCTGGTGCACATGTGTATCACAGTGTGTTGTATTTAATGTTGTGTGATTGTACATTACAGAGTTCAGTCAAAATAATGGCTGATCCTATAGAGCGGGGGTGCCTAACCTTAGCATCTTTTAAAGTTTTGAACTTTAGCTCCCAGAATTCTCTAGCCAACCATGCTGGGGGAAAGTCCCAAAGTCTTAAAGTTTCCGTAGTTGGACACTTCTGCAAGTTCTTTTATAGATTGTGAAGCTGGAACTCTGAAGTTCCTCACCCAGAACACTTCTGGATAGTCACACCCTGGCTCCATCTCCTGTTTGGGGTAGTAATGTATTCTCTGTGGCCACCATTTATCTTCCAGATAATGATGTTCAACTCTTACTTCCTGGTGGTAAAAGGGATGGGGCTTGCATCCGTTCTGGCAGTTAACAAAAGAGAGCGAACCAAATTGAAATCATTCCTAGAATATTCGCTCTTGGTTATAGAGCATTGAGATTTGAGGTTTCAGGCATTCCTTGGGGGATAAAACCATCTCATAAGAGATAAACAAAACCTTTATAAAACAAAAGATGAACTGTAATAACATTTCAAAACCTTTGATATTAAAATGTCCACATACAGAACTACTCAAATGAAGGGTAAACAATGAAATTTCAGGAGAAAATACAATGGCTACAAGATTTTGCTCATTTGTTATAAATAAATAAATTAAAACCCCCCCATGAATTTTTTATTTTATTTTTATTCCAAACGTATCTTCTTCCATTTGGCGACGTGTCGTCTGGTTACAAATATTTTGTGCAATACAGTTAATGTTTACAATCATATTCATTACATAGCATTATTTTCTAGACTTATTTTATTATGTACTTAATATCACTATCTCTTTATCTTTTAACTTAGCTTATTTATTTCTATCAATGAAAAATATCTATTGTCCTTCTGAAAAAAAACATTAATTATATCTAGCTTTCATATTTTTTTTTCTCTAACCATTGATAGAATAGTTCCCGTACCTTATAATATTCAGTTTACTCTTTCTCTTTAATTACAAGTGTTAATCTGTTCAAATAAATAAATTAAAACTTGATGAAAAGACATGAGAGCAGGATTTTTAAAATTTTTATTGAAAATTTCTACAAAAAAATTCTAAAAAAAAAAAGAAATTTCTAAAAAAAAAAAGAAACTCTGAGTATGAAGCCTTTTTTTCTAAGATTTAAGTAAACCAAACCAGTTTCAATCTAAAGTGAGAACAGTTTGTAGGTGTGGTGCCCTCTTACAAATGCCAGTGAATTTTTTTGCATGCAAATTAACACTGAGATTTGTGATGACATCAATTGTATGGTATTGTTTATGGTATCTGGAATACTTATAGCGTTCCTGGAAATAAAGATTATATTAATTGTTAACACTTTGCTTTATGCATTTTGGGGATGTTTTACAATTTGATGGGCCAAGTCTTGATATCCAAGGATCATACTTACAATTTTGGAAGGTCGAGGGCTACAGAGTCAGGAGAATCACAGAGCTGGTTTGGTGTAGCTGTGAAGGTGCTGAACTTCAAAACAAGAGGCTGCAAATTCTAGTCCTCCCTTATGGATGAAAACCTAATCTGGGCCAGCCATTTGCTTTCAGCCCAGCCATCTCACAGAGCTGGGGGTATGTGGTGTGGAAAATGGGAGACAGGACATTATAATAGAATAGAGCTAGAAGGGACCTTAGAGGTCTTCTAGTCCAGCCCCCTATACCATTTCAGATAAGGGACTGTCCAGTCTCTTCTTAAAAACGTCCAGTGATCAAGCACCCACAACTTCTGAAGATAAGCCGTTCTACTCATTAATTGTCCTCACTGTTAAGAAGTTTCTCCTTACTGAAAGATATTAGATTGTCCAGAAATAGACTTACATTGAAATTCAAGCAGAAAGAAGACACAGAATATTATCAAACATGGAACTTATTTTACCAATGGTTGGAAAAAAAAGGGGTGGGAAGTAAGAATGGAATCTGTATCGCTGAGCAAGTTAAATATCAAGACAACATGATGTTTATTAAGCACTAAGAAATGTAATAAATAGAAAATTAATAAAATTTATTTTAAAAAAGAAGTTTCTCCTTAATTCCAGATTGCTTTACTCCTTGATTAGTTTCCACCATCATTTCTTGTCCTGCCCTTTGGAAAATAAGTTGACCCCCTCTTCTTCGTTACATACGTAGATTACACACACCACCTTGAGTTGTGGAATAAGAATGGACTATAAATCTAATAGTAAATTAAATAATAATAGGTTTAGGGTTTTGAATAATATAGACAGGACTTTAAATTATAATGGTCATATACCTGATTAGGGCTATACTGTAGCTTTTATTGGTTTCCAGTCTAAAGGTACCTTCAGTATTTAGCCATCATTGGAGAACCTGTGACTGTGGCCACAAAACAGGACTGAAGTGGCCACAACTTTGCCAAATTTCAGTCCCTTGGGAGTCATGGATCCAGGATTTTGGACACATCCCTCAAGTTAGTATATTTGAGGAATGCTGATTTAAAATTTGTTTTCCCTACGATGCACCATTTCACCCGATTGAAAGTTACAAACAAGCAAACATAAATGAGAACTGTAGTTGTACGTGGATGATATTGAAGGAGGTTGCCGAGAGCTATAAAAAAAGGACGTGGAGATATGCAGCTTGCCTGTCCCCCTTTCACGGGAATAAGGAAAAGCAGCTCAATATTAAAAGGTGATTTAACATATTGCTCGTCGCAAAATCCATCCCAATTAGCTTAATTCTGGGTTTGTTTGTTTGTTTTAGCTTGCACAGAAAAAGGACGTGAGAACCATCCCACTCGAACCAGAAGTTCTCTCCGTTTTTGTACCTCCGTTTATCAGCAAGGAAGATTTGCAAGCTCTTCCTCTAAATAGCAACGCACTCAATAAAACCAAACGCCGTTCTTTCCGGAAGAGGAAAGATAAATTTAAGGCGGAGGAGGCAAAAGCTGTAAACGGAGCCCCCAAAACACCTGAGAATGAAGACATCACTGTCCCCACAGATGTCGACCTGAATGGACTGCCCCAGCTTTGCTTTCCAGGTTATTTCTCTTATTTATTAAGATTTATATATCACTTTGCTGCAGAGGCCCGAGGAGCGTGTGACCAAAAATTTTGTCTGACTTTGCATTTTAGCTACCGTGTTTCCCTGAAGAAAGACCCTGTCTTGATTTTTTTTTTTGCCACCAAAAAAAAAGGCACCAGGTCTTATTTTCGGGGGATGTCATCCTCTGACTAACCTCACTTGCGCGAGTCGCCCCCGGCCTCCTTTTCGCCGTCAGAGGCCTTCAGGAACTTCTTCTTCTGCAGCCAGCAAGGCTTTTCTGAAGGCTTCTGCATCTCATAACGGAGCTCTGGATTGACCCAGAGCTTTGTTCTCAGCTACAAAGGCCTTCAGGAAAGCCTTGCCAGCCTTGCCAGCTGCAGAAGAAATGGGCCGGCGAGGCAGGTGTCGGGGTGTGCGAGGCCTGGCTACAACTGTCCAAAGGTAAATAGTAGGGCAGCTCCACGCCCCCATCCCCATCCTAGCTTAATTTTTACCTGTACACTCTGGAGTGGGCGGGATCTTAATTAGGGCTTATTTGGGGGGTAGGGCTTATATTGGGCGCACGTGTAAAAATCAAGCTAGGACTTACTTTCAGGGTAGGTCATATTTTCGGGGAAACCGGGTACCTATATGAAGGTCAGGGAACATTTGCAGCCACAAGTAGTCCTTGACTTGCAACCACAGTTAGGATAGGAACTTCTGTCGCTAAGCGATGTTGTTCTGTCTTCTTTCTTGGTACCAGTGGGTGAACTCTGTTTTCCTTGCACATCTTTTAAGATTAAAACGGGTCATGCAGTGAAATCTTCAAAGCGTTTTTGATGAACGCTCAAATTATACTGTACGTATTTAATTCTGTGGATTTTTTTTTTTTAAATTGGTTTACTGTCTTTTAAATGGTTTTAGTTGTTTTATAATTTTAGAATTACAAGCCGCCACAGTCACTTCGGTTAAGTTGGGTGGCTGTAGAAATTGGATGGGTGAGGGAGTGAATGAGTGAACGATCCTTGGTGCTCTCTGAGCTTGCTTGTTCCCTTGCAAACGTTTCATTCCCTAACTAGGTAACATCATCAGTGCTATACTGTGCAATAGTTTTGGGTAATAAAACATCTGCAAGAAAACAAGCAAACTCAGAGAGCACCAGGACCCCTCATTTCAACCCTGAGCTATAAATATTCTCCTTTATTGGTATCACTGGGAAAAGTTGACAGAGCACCAAGAACCCCCCACTAGTATATAAAGAGAGTGCAAACCCCACTCTCTTCTAGTACTAATGAAGTTCCCTAGCTGGGTAATGAAATGCCTGCAAGAAAACAAGGAAGCTCAGAGAGAGGCCTTCCATTTCAACCTTGAGCTACAAAGATTCTCCTTTATTGAAATGAATGAACGAACGAACGCATGAACGAATATATCAGCCCCCCCCTTCTGTGCCCTCTTCTTTGTAGTCACAAAAGGGTGTCCTCAGAGAACCTTACTTCCTTTTTTTACAGGCGGTGTGAGATAGGTAGGATTTCCTGGCTTCTCCTAACAAATTAAAGTGGATTTATGTCATTGTGCATTGGCCCAAGCGGAATATTTGCAATTTTGGGGGGTCCTTTTCAACAGCGATGTTATTCTTATTGTTGGCTTCAGTTGCGGATAGTTTCAGTTGTTGTTTCTTCACTTGGAATCCATTGAGAACGGAGTGGTCTAGACATGGTATAAATAAACAGATGAATAAATTGCTGGGTTTAGTCAATAATAATCCAGTATCTTCACCGGTCTAAAATTTGTACACGGTTGGAAAAAATGACAAAAACAGCATATAGATTTGAAACTTGAGATATTTGTGTTGGGTATCTTGCCTGAAGGATACAGTAAAGAATTGTTATATTTGATTGTTAATATTTTGATAGCAGCTAGAATAGCATTTGCACAAAACTGGAAAAATGAAAAAGCTCCAATAAAGGAGGAAGTGATAAAGAAAATAATGAAATGTGCACAAATGAGTTGATTGGCATTTGATATTAGAGAGCAAGAAGAAAAAGAATATTATAAAATATGGGATTTATTCTATTCGTGGTTAGATAAGAAAATAGAGAAATATAACAGAAATATAATGTAACAGTTACAGTAAACTAATATAAGGATATAAGTGATTGCTATAATATGATATGCTTGATTACATGGAAATGAATATTATAAATTAGGCTTTATTAGTTAAATTCTGCTCGAAAAAATGAGATAAATAACAGTCTGATAATTTGATAATATATTAAATGGATAGTAGTTATATATGATATGAACTGTAACTTAAAATAAGATGGAACGACTGTTGATATTGTGCACAAGTGATATGTACCAACCCAACACACTGTACAATGGAAATAAGATTTTATTTAATGTTGTTTGTTCAATGTTTGTTTATGTTTGTTGTTTGAAATTTTTAAAAAAATTGGAAAAAAATAATAACCCAGTATCTTCCAGGTAGTCTTCGACTTACAACTATTCATTTAATGACTGTTCGAAGTTACAACGGCACTGAAAAATGTGACTTAGGACCGTTTTTCACACTTACAACCATTGCAGCATCCCTATGGTCACGTGATCAAAGTTCAGACACGTGGCAACTGGTTCATATTTATGACGGTTGCAGCGTCCCGAGGTCACGCAATCCCCGTTTGCGACCTTCTGACGAGCAAAATCCACGTGGAAGCTAGATTACCTTAACAACCGTGTGACTTAATTGCAGTGATTCACTTAACCTGTAGCAAGAAAGGTTGTAAGACTCACTCCATGAATGTCTCACTTAGCAACACAAATGTTGGGCTCAATTGCAGTCTTAAGTTGAAGATGACCTGTATATATAATCCCAAGTCATTGTCAACATGACCTCTGATAGTCAAGACGTTTGAAGAAGCATATTGGCAGATGAACGTTGAGAGAGGACAGATGGACGGATGGACGAACATAGACAGACAGAAAGATACATAGATAGATGGCAGATAGATGTATAGATAGATAGATTTGATTGCTTATTGTACCCTATGACTATTATTAAGTGTTGTACCTTATGATACTTGACAAATGTATCTTTTCTCTTATGTACACTTGCATTTGCACCAAGACAAATCCCTTGTGTGTCCAATCACACTTGGCCAATAAAAATAATTCTAATTCTAGATAGGTAGGTAGGTAGGTAGGTAGGTAGGTAGATAGATAGAGATAGTGGGCAGATAGATGGATAAATGATATATTAGATAGATGGACACACAGACAGACAGACAAACGGATAAATAGTTGTGATCTGGTGAGCAAAGTCAATGGGGAAATCAGTTTCACTTAACAACCGGGTTATTAACTTAACGTCGGGCTCACGGAGTCTTGGCAGCCCGACACTGGAGAAAGCCTCCTTCGTTGCCTCTCTCTTCGTTCTCTGACAACGGGGGGAGCGATGCCTGCTTCTTCGCTCCTGGTGTCGCCCATGGAGTGCTCCTTACTCAGGGCACCTCCTTCGCCGGGGAAGCGATGCCCGCCTCTTCTGCCTAGGCGTCGCCCATGGACTAACCCAAGCCGCAGCTGCTCCAGAACGCTGGAAAGAGCGTCAGCTGTTTGTAGCTTAGCAGCGTTTGGAGTGATCAGCGGGATGCGGAGGTTTCCGAGCGCTGTGATATCTACAGGGTTGGCTGGGGTGTTTTCATATACAGTTTTGCTGTGTATATTGACTGTTTCGTTCTTCCTGGGGTGGTGAGGAGTTAGAGGTGAAGGGCTAGGTTAGGGGTGAGTAGAGGCATTGGAAGAGCAGGCGGATGTAGGTTAGCCGGGTGGGGTCGACAAGCAGCTATAATAAGTGCTGAGAGGCAGTGGCTCCACTTGGAATTACTCCCGTGTTGCCTTTTGGGACTATTATGAGAGTGACTGAAGAAAAAAACCTTGATTGCTACAACCCTTAATTGTGCGTACAGTGGTTTTTTCAGTGCAAATCCTCAAGTACCCAGCAAGGCTGACACTTAACCTATGTAGCGATTGACTTAAACAACTGTGGCAAGAGGGGTTGTAAAATGAGGCAAAACTCACTTCGCATCTGTTTCACTTACCAACATAAACATCGGGGTCAGTGGTGATTGTAAGTTGAGGACTACCTATAGTTCAAAAGGGATGGTTTTTTTATGAGCCCTGCTAATGTTCAGGGGTTTATAAATATGTGAATTATGGTCCTTTGACTGATGCCGTATTTTGGGAGACCCGTGCTCTTTTTCTGCAATGCTTTTATTTTTATTTTTTTTTTATTTTTTACAGGAGGATTTTATATCACGGGAGAATCGAGGGAGAACCATTTTCACTTCCTCGTTTTCACAGATGTCTTTGGAAACCGAACGTATGGAGTTGTGGCCCAGTATTACCAGCCTATGCAAGTATGTTTTTTTAAAAAATGATTTTGACCTTAAGGAAGCTATTCCAGAGCTGGATCGTTGATTAATTTCAGAATGTATTGACTGTTGTGGTTAGCCGGCAGCAGGTGCGGACGGCTGAGGAGAGCGAGGACTCAGATGAGGGGCCATTAGGGAGTGGACTGCTGCCTTCAGAGATTCTGGGGGCTGGCAGCAGCGATGAGGAGGTTTCTGAGGAGCCTGTGCCAAGAGCGGGTGCGCGCAGGATTGCTCACAGGAAAGAGCAGCTGCAACAGCATGGGCGACTTGGGAGTAAGGCTGCAAGGTAATGGCCCCTCCTTCAAGAAGATAAAAGGCAGCTGGGAAGCGAACGGGCGACTCAGGAGTAAAGCTGGGAGATAATTGCCCCTCCCATAAAGGATAAAAGTCAGTCCTCAATGCCGAAGAGCTTTGCAGGAAGCAAAGCAGTTCAGTAATCTCCGAGTCCTTCGTGAAGTTCTGTACTCTGATCATTTTTTTTTTCTGGGTTTTTGGGTTGCTTTATGTTAGCCTTAACTGGACTTCTGTTTCTTGGTAGCATTCGACAGCACTGAAAAAGCGTGCTCTTATTTGGAGATATTTGTGTCTAATGAGTTTTGGCTGGGAATGCGAGTAATTCCCAGCGTTGCATTAAAAAAAAGGTTTTACTTTTAAATTCAGTTTGTGTTTTGATTAAGTTTGACGAAGCCTGGGTCAGAGCACTTTGTGTGTATGTGAATGACGTCCCCCGTCCCTGAAAGACAACCCCTTTGCAAGCAGTTGTGTGTTTTTTCTTTCTTTAGGAGGGACGCCTTTACAACGGGCAGGCACATTGGGATAACCTTCAAAGCTCCAGAGCTGATTCGTACTTCGTACCATTTGCTGTTTGTGTCATATCCAGGTACCCATATTTCAACGCCCTGAAGGACTGTTTGTCTTGGTAAGGATAAATATTTGGGTGCCTTTTTTTTTTCCCCTTTGGGAGGACAAATAATACTGCTGGGATAGAGCCACAATTTTGTTAGCAGTTAGAGATAGTCCTCGACTTACAGCAGTTCATTTAGTGCAGGGGTCTCCAACCTTGGCTGCTTTAAGCCTAGCGGACTTCAACGCCCAGAATTCAGCTTTGATTTGCTGGGGAATTCTGGGCGTTGAAGTCCGCCAGGCTTAACCAACCGTGTTACTAGCGTATCAACTGTGAATGGTTCACTTAACAACTCTTGCAAGAAAGGTTGTAAAAAGGCGCAAAACCAGGGGTGGGATTCAAAAATCCCAGCAACCAGTTTGCTGCCCATTTGCTGGATGGGCGGGGCCATAGTGGGTGGGGCCTACCAGAACCTCCTATTTTCAGCTTCCAGAGATCCAGGGGAGGCCATTTTCGGTCCAGAGCCCTCCCCCTAGGCCTCTGGGAGGGCAAAAATGGCCTCTTCCGGGCTCTGGAGGCCCTCTGGAATCTCGAAATGGGCCTGTTTCCGGACTTCCAGAAGGCCCGTTTTTTCCCCCCTCCCAGACCCTCTGCGCAGACCCTGCACTTACCTCCATCGAAAATGGGCCGCGTGGGGACTTTGGGGAGGGGCAGGGTGGAAGGGGCGGAGCCAGCCAATCCGTTGAAATACCGGTTTGGCGAAGCAGCTGTAACTTTAACATCCGGTTAACCGAACCGGTCCGAACCAGTAAAATCCCACCCTTGGGCAAAACCCACTTAACCACAGAAATTTTGGGCTCCATTGTGGTCATAAGTCAAGGACTACCTGTACAAGGAATTTGTCAAAAACCTGCTGAGAGGAGGAAGTCAAAGAAAGCTTAACACAGACAGGCTAATTAATACAGTGATAATTCAGCATGGATGTGAACTTTCCTCTCTGATTATGATTCCAGTTTTCCACGTTCGATTCCTTCCCTGAGAAACAGTGTTGATTCCCACTGGATAATGTTTCCCCTAACAATTCACCAAATACAGGTGGTCCTCGACTTACAACCACAATTGCCACCCGAATTTCCATTGCTAAGCAAGGCAGGTTCCTAAGTGAGTCATTGTTAATTTTACGAGCCCTTTGCCATGGTTTTTAGGCAAATGGCTGCAGTGGTTCAGTGAATCAGGAAGTCGTTAAGTGAATCCAGCTTTCTCGCGGACTTTGTTTGCCAGAAGCCAGTGAGAAAGTCACAAACAGCAATTATTTGACACTGGGACACCGCAACCCTCATAACTTCATGCCACTTGCCAAGTGCCCGAATAGTTATCATGTGACTCTGGGGATGCTGCAACAAGTCATAAGTGTATGTATGGACTGGTTGTCGATCGCTTTTTTTCAGTGTTGTTGTAACTTTGAACAGTTGCTAAATGAATGGTTGCGCGATGAGCCGGGGCACGGCTCAGAGGCAACACAGCCATCTAGCAGTTCAAACCCACCCCTTTATTGCTCCAAATTTCCCCCAAATATTCCCACATTTCTGGCAAGCCCCAGAGCCAAGAGATGACACATACACACACCCCTTTACGCAGCCTCTGGCAGCAAATAGTCCAGCTCAACACTCTGAGCCACCACGGCTGCAGGCAAGAAAATCCAGCAGGCAAGACAAGAATCCCAAAACCAAGAAGGAATCCAGGAAAGTTCAAACATCAGCAGTCAACACTCCAGGAATTTAGTGTTTGTTCCCGCCAAATGCCTCTCCCTACAACGTCTCCTTAAGTCACAGTCCCCAGGTGCGCCTTGTGCAGAGAGGCGGGGCGCCCTCCTCCTGAGTAGTCGGGTCAGTCTGCGCTGTTCTCACCTTCTTTCCACTCTCCATGCTCGAGGATCAGGAGGGGGTGGTCCTTGCTCATCACCCGAACTCTGCTTCTCATGTTCACTGCTTAGCCTTTCTTGGTCACCCTGCCCTCCTTCCTCCCTGCCTACAAGCCATCCTAATCCTCAAAGGTCATGGCCTGACTGGGCCTGCTCTTCCCCATTTTCCTCCGAAGCCAACGAAGCTGCCCCCTCGATCACCGTTGACTCCACTTCCAGCTCATCTTTCCCTGCAGATTCAGGCTCCGACAGAGGCATGACAGGTTGTAAATTGAGGACTCTCTGTATTACATGAGATTCTAGTAGGGATTTCAACATGAGGGGTGGATTGTATTGCAGTTAGAGGGACACAGGGTTGGTTGTGCAATTGCGTACCTAACAAGTGTACGCCAGTGGCTCTTGGTCCAGTGCTCTTTTCTCGTTAGTATCACCTGTCAACTCTGAAGCTGGCCTGACCGAGTCCATCGTGGAGGCTTCAGTGTTGCCATACTGGAGCTGAGCGATGGGGTGGGGGAGAATAGAGATAGCTGGGTTTTGTAGCCAAAGCAAAATAGTTTCCCCTGAGAACCAAGGACATCCCCACAGGTGGCTGAAAAGAGGAGGAGTCAAGTTTCCAAGCAACTGCACAGCATCCTGATTGGACCATGTGATTGATTGATTGGGAAAGGGGGAATAACTTTTAATTGGATGAAAACTGCAATCTTTAGAATCGGTTTTCACCAGTTTGTGCCAGTATGATATATCCAATAAAACCTGTTCTTTGAGGAACCCACTTGCCTTGGAGTTCTGCTTGCAATGGGGATATTGCTTGGAATCCTGACACCACTGCTAAGTAGTTTCTTAGAGATTTTGATAACAGTTGAGGACAGAGCCCTCCTATTATAAATTCACAGCTTCTAAATTTTTGAAGCGAATGTGCTGAATTTTATGTCCTACTGGCTAGACTTTTAATTTCATATAGTAATAAGCTGGCAGGAGCGGAGCTGCAAAAACTAGATTACATTTGCATGAATTGTTCTGCAGGCTTAATTGCTTTAAAACTTAAGATCCGTACTTGGGTAGGAAAAGATCAGAATTGCATTAAGTTAAAGAACAATAAGATGGTACATTTTTTGCAGAAGAAACAAATGTTGAAAGGCACGAGAATTCTTCTCAAGCAACTTCCTACTCTTTGCTGCTATTATTATTATTATTGTTGTTGTTGTTATTTTGCAGTTTGTTGCTAAGTCTTAAGCCTTACAAAGATTCAGAGATCGAGGAACACATAAAAGAATTTGCAGCGAAGTTATCCCTGATACCCAGTTCTCCTCCTGGGCAGCTTCATCTGGTAAATACTTAAAATATACTATACTTTATAATTTCCTGTGCTTTAGTGCAAACAAGAATTATTAAGTACTTTTTAAAAGCAAAAGCATTTGAGAAGAGAACAATGAGGATTTCCTTCCCGATGCCGAACAGGAAACACGGACAAGATGAGCTAAATTTACTTTATTGCAGGGTTACATTAACAGAATCTTGTAAATCTGAAAGTACAGATCTCCCACATAAGCTTTTATCTGCCTGATTTATTAGGGTGGGTCTTTTTTTAGGTTCCTATCTCTGGCTGTTAAGCAGCTGAGGGCTACACATCCTTTTATCTGATCTCTTCCCTTCACCCCTCAAAGTCATTCTCACACACCCTTTTATCATTTTCCCACTGCAAATGACAAATGTGTCTTTTCTTTTATGTACACTGAGAGCATTTGCACCAAGACAAATTTCTTGTGTGTCCAATCACACTTGGCCAATAAAGAATCCTATTCTATTCTATTCTATTCTATTCTATTCTATTTTATTCTATTCTATTCTATTCTATTCTATTCTATTCTATTCTATTCTATTCAGAATTCACAGCTTATTCTTTTCTTGATGCATATTGGGGGATTCACAGTCAAAACGGAGGACTGCCTTGATTTTCCTGTCGCTAAACTTTCTCCTTTGCTCTTTCTGCCTTCCTAGGATTTCCTTCTTCATCTTCTGTCCGAAGCCACTTTTGGCAAGAGGGATTTGAGCTCTTTTTTCCCCCCTTTTCCGGATCTCACGTTTCTGCTTTCTTTAACCTAGTCCCCCTGACACCATTTCTGTGCTCTGTGTAGTGTTGCTCACACCAAAAGAGAAAACGGAATCACAGTGTAAGTATGCACAGGATTCTTAGATATACTACCGGAAAACTATATATACCAGGGGTATAAAACCAATGCCCGCGGGCCGGATCCAACTGATGGGGTGCTTATTTCCGGCCCATGGGCCGGCCCTGGAAATAACCAAAGGACTGGCCCATGGTTTCTCTGCCAGCAAAAACAGCCTGGGCAGGACACATGCAGCCTCTGTGAGCTTTGTTTTTGTTGGCAAAGAGCTGCAGGAGGCCATGGCAGCCCAAAAGGAAACCCGGGCGGGCCACGTTCGCTTCCCTGAGCTCCATTTTTGGTAGCAGAGGGCTGCAGGAGGCTGTTGCGGCTGAAAACGGAGCCCGGGAGGGCTGCTTGTGGACCCTCCCGGTGCGTCTTGTTTGCTGGGAGAAGTCTGCAGGAGTCTGTCATGGCCGAAAACGGAGCCTCGATGAGTGACATTTGAGCTGGCCACGCCCCCTCCCACCCCCAAGGTCTAACACAAACCTGATGTGTCCCTCAATGAAATCGAGTTTGACACCTCTGCTATATGCAACGTGACGTAATCCACTGATACGTTACAAAGACTTTGAAGGAGGAAAGAAGCCGGGCCATGCAAGTGAGTAAATTGAGTGTGCACCCATGTGTTTCAGACCACCACTTGCACAGCCTGGTTGTGAATTAGCCGTGATCCAGTAGTGACCCGGGGGGGACGTGTTGGGGTATCCTACATTGCCTCTTCCACTCCGATTCTCTTTAGAAAACGAATTGTAATCGCCTTCTGCTGTTTGTGGTGATGAAACCCACAAAAACGGGATATTCCCCTCTGTTCTTCTAGCTATTCAATATGAAGCCTCTCCAAGTCGTGTTTCCATCTCAGGAAGATCCCGACAGCCCTCTTATTGATTTGGATCTACATCTTCCCTTCCTTTGCTTCAAGCCGGAACAGATTTTACAGGTAAAGGGGTTGTTTTTAAACGGACTGAAATTTTCTCCACCAAACTTCTGCCAAATTGACAGGGAATTCCCTCATCCCGGTCTTTTTTCAACTTCAGAAGTTTTAAGATTGGTGGACTTCAGATCCCAGAATGGCCTCTAGCAGACAACCGATTCGCTGAATGACCACCGCCACAAAGATTGTGAAATCAGATTTGTCCTCTGGGTGACCTGCTTTACAAATTGTCACGAATTACAACCAGGGGTCGGATTCAAAAATCCCAACAACCGGTTCTTTGTCCGGTTGCTGGGTGGGCATATGGCTATGGTGGGCGTGGCCTACCAGAATTTCCAGGAGGGCTGTTTTTCACCTTTCCCAGAGTCCGGAGGCTTCCCTTGGGCCTCTGGGAGGGCAAAAACAGCTTCTCCCGAACTCCGGAGGCCGTCCAGAAGCCAGAAACGGATCCGCTTCTGGGCTTTCGGAACTTCCAAGAGGGCCGTTTTCGCCCTCCCAGAGCCTCCACACAGAACCTGCACTTACCTGCATCCAAAATGGGCCATGTGGAGACTCCTGTGAGGGGTGGGATGGGGTGAGTAGGGCAGGCTGGTCGGTTTAACTACCGGTTCAGCGAACCAGATGTAAATTTAACATCCAGTTTGCTCGAACCGATCCAAACCCCATCCCTGATTACAACCCTAATGGGCAGGCTCCATTACAGTTGTAAATCAAGAACTACCTGCATCTTTTTAAAAATGCTGGGCAGGAAAAATAGTTTGGACAGAAATTGCTTTCCGTCTGTTAAAATGTGCCTGTTCTGTTTATCGGCAAACAAGTTTGAATTTTCCGGCGCCAGTTGACCTATGGTGGGGTTATTAACGGTGAGGAATTAACGGCAGTGTGAGGCGGCAGCCAAAACAGCCGATACAATCCTTGGCTGTAGAAACAGAGGCATAGAATCAATATCACGCGGAAGTATTAGCACCGCTTTATAAAGCCTTAGTAAGGCCACACCTGGAATACTGCGTCCAGTTTTGATCACCTCATTACCAAAAAAAGATGTTGAGACTTTGGGAAAAAAAAAGTGCAGAGAAAAGCCGTTAAGATGATTAAAGGCCCGGAGGCAAAAGTATATGAAGAACGGTTGCAGGATTTGGATTTGGCCAGTCTAGAGAAAAGGAGGATTGTGGGGCGGGGGCATGAGAGTGTTCCAGTATTTGAGGGGCTACCACAAAGAAGAGTGGGGGGTTCAATTTATTTCCCAAAGCCCCAGAAGGCGGGACAAGAAACGATGGATGGAAACTGGTCAAGGGAAGAAGTAAATCTGGAAGTTGACCGGAAGCTTCCTAACAGTGAGGAGAATTAACCAGTGCAACAGCTGGCCTGTAGGTGCTCCGTCACTGGAGGTTTTTAAGAAGAGACTGGACAGTCACTTATCTGAAATGGTGTACGGCAGGGGTGTCCAACCTTGGCAACTTTAAGACTTGTGGACTTCAACTCCCAGAATTCCTCAGCCAGCTTTGCTGGCTGAGGAAT